GATTTTACAGTTTTTATTTGCATGGGGAAAAAAAGATGTTTTCAAGTTTCCTGTATCAATAACTTTCTGGAACTTTGGAGCCAAAGATAAATTGCCATCAGTGCCGTTCAAAATGGCATTAAATATTCTGCTGCCATCTTGGTGTGGGGACTATAGGATGCTGTTTTTTACACTTTCCTTTTTTCCAAGACTCCCCCTGACCCCCAGCTCTATGCCAATCCGTTTCCCCCATCTCCCCATGGGAGCACGACCCTGCTCAAGGTGGAGAACTCGCCCAGAGTAACCCCCTCCGGGCTGGCCTGCCTTGCACCCCCGTCAAGGCCCTGTGACCACGAGCAGGTCTTTACTGCTTACTGGGCACTCCCTATGGGAATGCTAAATGAGGCCCTCCTGCCCTCCACGGATGGGAGCCGACTGTGAGCATGCGGCAGTGGAGGCTTCTCCGTGGGGTTCAGAGCCATGTGGCCAGGGCTGTGGAAAGGGGAGCTCAGGCCCAGGTAGCATCTTCTGGACAGAGTCAGGACCTGACTTTCAGCTCCTTCCTCACCCACTTAAGAAATAAAAAGGAAATTTTGTGGTCCCCCATAGTGCTCCCATAGGAAAGGAGAGCTTTGTGAGCTGCAGAGGCCCTGAGTCAGCCAGGACAGCTCCTACTATGCTGGGAAGATGCCTGCAGCCATTCTGGCCCCTGTCAGCAAGACTGCCTCTGCCCCTCCCCCAGGACCGGGAAGGCAAAGGTCTTACAGACCAAAGAAAACAAAACCGAAGGGAGTTGGGCGTTCACAGCCTCGGGAGAAGTCTCAGGATAGAAGGCTCAGTGCTAACCCTTGCCAACTCTCGCACCCAGACAGCGCCAGAATGTGCACAGTCTGTACTTCTTAGGACACCAAACCAGAGGGGTCCTTGACACACTGCTAAATGTTACTAATTAATGTAACTTTTTTTCTGCTGTAAACTGCATATAAACCATCTCTGTACAAAGAGGGATGGAGCAGTTGGATCAGAGCTCTCTGATCAACTGTCATCCAGGTCATGGCCCTTAGTAAGACTGAACCAACTCTGTCTTTCCTAATGCAGTGGCTGGATGGATTTCGGTGAACACACGCTCCACCACCAGCCAGCCATCTGGGCCCCAGACCCGCTGGGCAGAGCCCCCATTCCTGCCTCTGCCTTCCCCTCCCAGTCTTGTGTCTCTCTGCTCTAGGCCTGAGGCCACACTGAATAGATAAATGACCATGACAACTGTCATTAGTACCCAGCACTTGTAAAGCGCCTGGCACATGCCAAGTGGTTTCTCTGCAGCATCTCATTTACTTTTCTCCACAGGGCAGGCAGGCACTGCCCATAGTCCCACTGCACAGCCAAGAAAAAAGCCCCGAGAGGTGGAGCCATGTGCCCAAGGTCACATAGCTGGGAAGCGGCAGAGCTGGGCTGCAGCCCCAGGACTCTCTGGGAGCTTGCAGGTATTGCTCACCACTGAGTGGGAATTCACTAAATCTGCAAAAAGCTCAACGGATCAGAAGGATTCAGCGGATGCACTCGATCAGCGAGAAGCAGAATGGAGCCCTAATCTGCCTGCAGCCACCTCTATCCTCCCCAGCTCTCCCCATTATCCCTCACTGAGGCAGGCTTTATGGTGGCTGTCTTCCCCTTGCATGACATGAGAGATGCTGTTTGAATAACCAGTGGTGAGGGAGGCTGGGCACACTTTGATGCAGAAATGAAAACCTTTAGAAAGATGCAATTTGGAGAATATTGGAAACTGGAGAATGGAACATCAGTCTATAAAATTTAACATGACCAATAAAGCTGTAGCAACTGCTCAGGTGTTTTAGAGCTCACGGTGCTGGGGAATCGGTAGGCATGCAGTTGGGCACTGCTTTCAGACCAGGGACATTTTTCCTGGGCTCTTTTTGGACTTATTTCCATAATGTGCCTCATGATTTCCAAAGCACCTCAGCATTAGTATCTTAAGTGCAGCCAGGAACATCTTGCAGTCCAAGATTATTCCCATCCCAGAATAATCTTTCCAGAGAACTGGCCTGCTCCAGGACTGCGCGCTCCCCTGTCCCCTGACCACTGCCATGGCCCTGTATGTTTATGTGGGTGCAGGTGGCTCAGGTAGAGGCTGCAGGTGGCCAACAGACCTGTGCTCCACCCAATGTCCTGGCCCCACCATCTGGGGCTTGATGCCTGTTAGGGTGAGGCTGGAGCCCTGCCCCCTCTCCCTGGGTGCCCAGAAGAAGCCCTTTACTGTCAGTGTTGCAGGCACTTGCTGGGATTTCATTACAGGCCTTCCCTTCTTTTCCCTGCTGCACCCCAAAGCAGCTCTGAGCTCATGCAGCCCCAGGTGGCCTCTCCCACTTGCAAGGTCTCCCACCACAGGTTACGTAGGCTTGCTCTCAACTGCCCACACACTGCTTTTGCCTTCTCAGAGTTTTGCATTTATTCACATATGGCCATTTAGTGTCCATATCACCAATATTTTCCACAGGTGGCATGCACCGTTCATCAGGGCCACATTAGCGCAAGGATCTGCATCCTGACCCTCACAGCTTCAAGCTTCTGACAGCCTTTGAGCATCTCCCCATGCAAGGCAGGTGCCAGGTGCTGAGATACAGTAGTGCACGAGGAGCCACAGGCCCTGCCTGTGAGGCTTTTACTGTCTGGTAGGAGCTGACGCCCCTCTTTTCTTCTGACCCAACACCAATACAGAGCATGAACACTTTGGCCTCAACTCCACTGACACATCCTGATGTCCATGCAGGGCCTTCCTTTTCTTGCTCAGAGGTGTTCTGGACAGGCCAGGCATGGAGGGCTATTCCTTCAGTGACCATGCAGGCTGGAATGTGAAGGCTTGCCAGGCTGGGAACACGATGGGAACCACTGTGTGCGCCCATCTGGCCACATTCCACCCACAGCATGGCCTCCTGATGCCTGAGACCTGTACCGAGGGGTAATGCGGTCCCTGTCACCACCTTGCAAGGGCCTACTCCACTCGAGAAACCTGGGCAATTTCTTGGCATCTCATTTCTATCAGACATTTGTTCTTCACCTGCCAGGGCTTGGTTGGGCCTCCCTGGAACTTGGTCTCCACGGGGCCTCCTCTAAGGGCAGGGGTTCTCTGGAGGTAGATGCAAACAGAGCATGCCTCACTGAAACGTCATGCTCCAGTTTTCCTCTTTCTCTACTTCCTTTACATACTTAATCTGAACACTCAGCACCAAGGTTATCTGTCAAAAGGCATTAGAAGATCCATCACAAAACCCAAAAGCATAGAGGCAAGGAGCCATCTTCCTACCTTTAAGGAAACAGTCTTTGCTGTGGACAACGACAATCTTCTTCTCCAGCAGGCAGGCAGCACGGTGGAGCTCACAGTGGTTCTCGTAAAACCTGCCATCGGAGCCGCATACGGGCATGTAGCTGGGTCTGCACGCCTCCAGGCACCGGCACTCAGGCTGCCCCGTCTCCCTGCTGGGCATGCACCTGCTCCCACGGCCACAGAACTTCTTCCCACAGGAGGCCGGCAGACCATCGTGGCCAGAAAGCCCTGTCAAGCATGCAAACACAGAGGGCCAGCTGTGAGCACTTGTGGGTGAGGGTCATGGACTTCTCTGTGCTCCCTCTACCTCTGGAGTCAAGGCCTGGGGCCTCGGAGCACCCACTGGAGGCTCTTCCCCACCCACAGGAGGCAGCCGTGGGTGCCAAGAGCTGCGCTCTGCCATACAGCTCAGATGAGGGCTGACTCACACCAAGCATCCCAGATACAACCCCTGCCCATTCTGGGAGTGGGAGACAACAGGGGGTCACACAGAGGGGACCAAGTGTCAGTGGGCCTGGCCTGCCCACTGAGCGGAGGAGGGCTTTCCAGGACACAGAGGCCTTAAACCAAGGCTCCCACACCCACGCTGTGGGGAGAGGCCTGATGTAAGGCGTTCTGTGCATGGGTGGGCGTGGAGAGAGGGTACGGGGGCCGAGGTGCGGTCCTAGGAGATGTAGAGAGCCAAGCCAATGGGTTTCCATCTGACGTTAGGCACTGGAGTGACTTGTGGAGTTTAGGGAGGAAGTGGTACCCCAAGCCCAGGATGGGGGCAGTCAAGGCGGGAGGCCAGAGATGGACCTTTCCTTCTGGGAGAATGTGGCCGTGCAGGACACACAGCAGCAGCGGCACCAGCAGCCTGGCTCTACTGCCCGCCCTTCCTGGCACAAAGCTGCAGCCCTGGACAAGAAGGCTGAGACCCTTGCCTGAGAAATGGTCGCAGCACCTGCCATGTTGCTGGGTGTCCTCTGCACCCCACACGCCCGTAATGACCCCAGGCGGTGGTGTCCAGAGCTCATATACCAGCTTATTGCTGAAAGGGTGTGCTTAAGCCAAAGGCCACACAAGCCTCTATAACCAACACTGCACTCCGTCAGAGATGTCTGGAAAATTGCATGATTGCCATGTAGCATTAATGGCAGCAGATAGGAAGTTGAGAATTATAAAGGGATATCAAAATACAAATAATTAAAACACGAATGCAGATTTTATGGCTGCCGAAGTCATTGTTTTTAAGTTTAAACGAAATCTTTTTCAAAATACTCAGCGAGACAGAAGGGCCCTGGCAGTCAAGACTGAACCTTCAGCCCAGGTCCTATGCCATGGGATTAAAATATCTAAGAAAAAGCCTTCTTTTCTACATTTTTGGTTAAGTCTGCTTTTCATCATTTTAGATTTGAAAGGTGAAAAACATCAGTTATCAATAGATTAACTGTTTGAATCAATAATTACTTTAAATTTCTTCAGCGTAGGCAAGCTAAGAAATATTGACTTTTTCTTGAATCATAATAAACTAGAACGTTAAAATATCTCTGTGCAGTGTAGAAGTGCAGATCCTAAGCAGAGCGTGTCCCCCTTATCCACTTTGCTAGTGTCTGTGCGTGCGCGGCTGTGGGGCTTGGGGGCATTCATCAGCATCGATGCGTATCTTCCTGTCAAGGTTGACGGTCTAGGGGGAGCTAAAGGCACTTGGCAGTCGGGGGTTCTGGTCTGGAGGCCCTCCACCCACTGGGTTTATGGCTGCTTTGCCACAGAGGGTGTTTGATTAACATGACTCTCCTGGGTGGTTGGAAAATGGGTTACCCTGAAAAGTGCTGCCAGCTACTAGAAACTCACACAGCTCTAAAATATCGGCCTTTGTTTCTTTCCCAAGACCAGGCCAGGAAACAGTGTCATTGTATCACTGTTTTAATAAACTTTTCCATGCGGTGGGAAAGGCCCTACTAATCACCCCAATCTGAAGAACCAGAGCCGAAGTGCCTGGCTCTCTGGTCTCTCTGGTCCTGCTGCAGGCGTCTGGCGCCCGCTGAGCCGCCCAGCCCGACCGCTCTCTCTCTGGCCAAGTCAGCTCTAACTTGCTTGGGGTCCAGCTCCCCTCAGCTGCTGGCTCCAGTCTGAGCACGCTCTCTGAATCCCCCTGCCTCTCTCTGGGCTTGGGAGGCCCCCCAGCTTTGTCTGCACATAGACCCCATGCACCCAGGCTTCAAGAAACAGAACAGTTTTAAAAGCTTTTCTCCTTAACTCTGATTTGGTGACACTGCTCAAATCCCTGGAGAGGGGCTAGGACGGGGAGGGAGAGGTCACCCACATGCAGTGACCTTTGGAGGGGTGCATCTCCCCTTGACCTCCAGGCGGGGCAGAATGGAAGCTGGAAGGACAGAGGCATGAAGGACAGACAAACGGTCATGGAGGAAAGAAGCCTAGAATCAGCAATGGCAGAGCAGGAAGGGACTTCAGAGACCATCTCGGTGGGCCTAGGCAGTGCAAGTAAAGCCAGCTCACCATGGATGGGCAGACTCCCGTTTCCCTGACCCTCTCACCCATGAAATGCCCACCTGCATGCCAAGATTGCAGTGGGCGCCTCTGAAGACCAGTGTCCTCCTGGCCTCTGCAATGCTCATGTTTGATTAGCTTGCAGGTGTGGCTGGGCCTTTCCCACTAGGCTGTCCTCTGAGGGGTCAGTGTTAAGAAAACACTTGTGCCAGCCTGTGCTCATCAAAGTTTGTCAAGAATATTCAGTTTCTCTTTGACATGGAAATCAGCTGTCAGTAAATATTTTTTCCTAATTATTTGCAATTCAGACAAAAGTAGCTTTAAAGCCCTGCATCTACCCTTCCAAGCATGTGGACAGCAGGCTCTGCAGGACGTTGAGAATGCCCTGCACAGGGTCTGGCCTGGAGTCCCATCCCTGGCCACAGAGATGCTGACCAGTGGTTTCCTCATTAAACAAGGCCCTTGTTATTAAAACAGAATGAATTCCCCACTCCTAGCAGGACGATGATAAAACAGTAATGGGAAAGGTAACCAAGTGAGACCGCCAGCAACCCCTACAGTGTTTATGAGGAAGACCATGGTGCATGAAAGATATAATGTGCTTAATTTATAGTCGTAAAGAAAGTCATTTAGCCAGATTAGAAACTGATCATCTTACCAAGTAAGCTGCTTTTCAACACTAATTAAATTTACTGAACACAGTCAGACATGGGAATTGTTACATGAAAGTTACAGCAGAGAAACAAGTCCACTGGTACCAGCTGATGCTGAAGACGCCCTCGTGACCCCGATCAGGATGCTCAATGTGGCACATCACGGAGCTGGGACTACCATCGCCTCAGAGCACAGGAGAAGGTGGTGTAGGTTAGCAACAGCAGGGGTCCAGCCCGCGTGCCCCCCGCACAGGGGTCAGATGAGAGCCAGGGTGGGGAAGGCAGGAAGCCTCCCCTGCTGTGTTCTCTTCTAACCACAACACAGAGCACAGAAAATTCAGCTACTTGGCTTCCAAACTCCGAATCAGTGTCTGTAACTGGTTCCTTGGCCCAAAGTAAACCACAGAGCGTTTCCCTCCTAGGGATCAGGCTGGAATGGCATAAGAGGGGACCCCGTTGGCCCTCAACTTTGGGATGTTAATTGCCTGCTGACATGTTCATCTAGGGCAGCACTTCTCCACGAGAACATGTCCTCAGTGCAATTATGGAGGAGGGCCACCTCCCCTTACACAGCCTTGGGGGTGTGGGGAGGTCACTCCAGGTCTCTGTTGCTGACACAGCCTGGCTGTCCTCCTGCAGGCCTTCAGGCCTCCGGTGAAGGACGGGCTGAAATCCCCACTACCTCACCCCGCCCCACCGCAAGGCCACGGTGAGCTGTTGGCTTGGCTCTAAAGTGGCCTCATGCTCCACAGGGCCCAAAGCAGGCCAAGCAGAGTGGGACATGGTTGCAGAAGTCATGCACAGCACCCACTGCCCTGCACCTACAGCATGCTGCTGCCTGCCATGCAGCCCAGCCTTGCACAGCAGCAGTGTCTAGCTTCTGCAGACAGAAGCTGCTTCTAGGGGCACCAAGTGCCCACCGACCGGCAGGCACAGCTTTTTAGAGATGGATTATTTGCTTTATGTTCTGTGCTTCAATACTGACCCACCAGGGCACTATAACCCATACCCTGGGGGCATTGTGAGGCTTTTTCAGACCTAGAGCTGAGGACTCACCTTTGGAAGAGTGGTGTGTGTACAGACGTGTGCAAGTATGTGGGGTGTGCTGCCCAGAAGCTGGATATCATGGGCCCAGTACTCCCCCAACCCTCCCAAGACAACTTATATTCTCAGAGGTGCCCAGGGTGGTCTGGAGATAAGACTGTCTGGCCCCCTTTGACTCCCTCATTGCAGAGACTGCCCAAGTGCCTTCTACATGGTTGTAGAATTGGGATTGGTGGGAAAGCCTGGCAGAGACCTGGCTCTCCAGTCAGTGGGGTTTCTATGCCCCACATGGGTGGTACCAGTGGGCACTTCAGGAGCACCTGTCAGCTCTCCATCCACCTATCCATCCTACAGATATTTTGGGGGCACCTCCTAGGTACCAGATCCCAAACTGTGTTGGGGACACAAAGCTGACTAGGATACTGGCCTTGGGGCACTTACACTGCAGTGTAGGAAGACACACATGAGTGTGACCAGGCAGATAAATCAAGAAGATGAACATGCACTGTGGTAAATGCCAGGAAGGATGTAAGCAGGGAGCTGCAGTGAACCAGCCTGCACCTGGAGGTCAGGTGCCCTCTCTGAGGATGGGAGATTTGGCATGAGAGCTCTAGGGGAGGGGAGGGCGGAGCAGCCTGGGGGCCCTGAGCCTGTGAGCATAGCAGGGGCTGGTGCAGGCAGAGGCCCGGCTCAGCGTCCTGCTCCGAGGCAAACCTTGCTGGCAGACCCAGTCTGCAGGGAGTCATCACTGCAGATGCAAAGTTGCTGCCTTGCCCAAGTGTACCCCTGAAAAAGTGGGGTGACTGGTTTCCTGGAGGTCTTTGTCAACTCCTAGGAACTGAGTCTTGGAGGGACATCCTATTACCTTGATATTCAGCAAGTACCCCCAGCTCCACTCCTGGCTGAAGGGGGCCCATCCCTGAACACTGCCATAGCCAGAAGGCTCTGGGCACCTCTGAGGCTGTGGTAGGGCAGAGAGCAGCCCTCCTGGGCTCTCGCCGCTTAACACCTCAGTGCACCCTCTACACCCCCAGGTGCCCTGGGTTTTGGGCTGCTCCAGGCCCACCTCTGCCCTGGAAAGTCTCCTTCACAGCAGAATGCTGGGAAAAACATCTGTACTTCCTCCCACTGAGATGTGCATGTCTAGTATCCAGCCAGAGTGGGTGATGTACTAGGTAACTGCTATTTACTGAGGCGTGCCAAAAGGGCCAGGCACCCTGCCTGCCACGCAGAATACGTGAGCTCATCTAATCCCCATTTAATCCTCATAATAGTCCTATGAACTAGGCTTCACTGTGAATGTGTTTGTGACATGCCGACATGCCTATTTTACAGGTGAGGAAAAACGAGTCAAGAAGTGACTTGCCTGCTGTCAGAGAGCAAGTAGGTTGAAAGTGGTAGAGCTTAGATTTGAATCAGTCTCACGCCAAATACCTCAGCCCTGGATGAGTCTGCTCAGCCAGGGATATGGTCCTGC